AATTCTTAACCGAATTGTAGCCAGCATAAGTTAACAGACACATAAGAGGAAAATAATCACATAATGTCAATTGATGCAGAAAATGCATTTGAAAAAAGCTACACCTTTTCCTGATAAAAACTCTCAGCAAAATAGTCTTGTTGATTCTTTCTATTCTTTTAATTCCTCAACATAATTAAGGGTATATAGGAGTCCTGCTGAGGCACTGTAAGATACACACTGGACTGCTAACCATAAGGTTGACAGTTCAAAACCACCAGTCGCTCCTGGAAAATCCTATACAGGGTCATTGTGAATCAGAACTGACTTGGCAGCACTTAACAACAACAATGTCAACATTATTTCAACAGAGACTGAAAGCGTTCACTTTGATAACGGTAATGAGACAAGGATGCCCTTTATCACCTCTCATTCAGTATTGTACTACTAGAAAGAGTCAGCACAGTGGCAGGGTACAAAATAAAAACCCATTGGGTTCCTCTACACTGACAAAGATAACTCCAAAAATGAAATCAAGAAAACAATACCGTTTATGTTGTTGTTATTGTTGTTAGATGCCATCGAATTGGTACTGACTCATAGCGACCCTATGCACAACAGAACGAAACTCTGCCCGATCCTGGGCCAACCTCACAATTGTGCCACGCTTGAGCCCCCTGCTGCTGCCACATTTCCAATCCATCTCGCTGGGGGTCTTCTTCTTTTTCTCTGACCCTCCACCTTACCAAACATGATATCCTTCTCCAGTGACTGGGCCCTCCTGACAATATGTTTGAAGAATGAGAGATCAAGTTTGACCATCCTGGCCTCCAAGAAGCACTCTGGCTGCACTTCTTCCAACACAGATCTTTTGTTTCTTTAGGAAGCCCATGGCACTCTCAATATTCTCCTCCAACACCATAACTCAAAAGCATCAATTCTTTTACCGTCTTCCTTATTCACTGTCCAGCTTTTGCATGCATATGAGGTTATTGGAAATACCATGGCTTAGGTCAGGCGCACCTTAGTCCACAAGCTGACATCTTTGCTCTTCAACACTTTAAAGAGGTCTTGTGCAGCAGATTTTCCTAATGCAATATGTTGTTTGATTTCTTGACTACTGCTTCCATGAGTGTTGATGGTTGATTCAAGCAAAATGAAGTCTTTGATAACTTCAGTCTGTTCTCCATTTATTATGATGGTATTTGTTGGTCCAGTGGTGAGGATTTTTGTGTTCTTTATGTTGAGGTGCAACCTATATCAAGGCTTGTGATCTTTGATCTTCATCAGTAAATATTTTAAGTCCTCTTCACTTTCAGCAAGCAAGGTTGTATCATCTGCATACCGCAGGTTGTTAATGATTCTTCTTCCAATCTGATGCCATGTTTTTCTTCACATAATCCAGCTTCTTGGATTATTTGGTCAGCATACACAATGAATAAGTGTGATTAAAAAAACAACATTTGTGCACATCTTTCCTAAAGTTAAACCACTCAGTGTTCCCTTGTGCTGTTTGAACTGCCTGTTGGTCTATGTACCAGTTCCTCATGAGCACAATTAAGTGTTTAGAATACTCATTCTCCATAATGTTGTCCATAGTTTGTTATGATCCACACAGTCTGAAGTCTTTGCATAGTCAATAAAGCACAGATAAACATCTTTTTGGTATTCTCCGCTTTCAGCCAAGCTCTATCTGATGTCAACATTGATATATCCCTCATTCCACATTGTCTCCTGAATCAGGCTTGAAATTCTGGAAATTCTCTGTCAATGTATGGTTGCAGCCATTTTTAATTTATCTTTAACAAAATTTTGCTGGCATGAGATATTAATGTTACTGTTCGATGATTTCCTCATTCCATTGGGTTACCTCTTTTTGGAATGGGCACAAATATGGATCTCTTCCAGCCAGTGAGTGCCTCCAGTGCTGCATCAATTTGTTGAAAGATTTCAATTCATATTTCATCAATTCCCAGAGCCTTCTTCTTTGCCTCTGTCTTCAATGCACCTTGGACTTCTCCCTTCAGTATCATTGACTCTTGATCCTATACTACCTCTTGAAATGGTTAAGCACCAGCCATTTCTTTTTGGTATAGTGACTCTGTGTATTCCTTCCCTCTTCTTTTGATGCTTTCTGTATCATTCAATATTTGCACATACAATCCTTCAGTATTTCAAGTCGATACTTGAATTTTTATTCAGTTCCCTCAGCTTGAGAAATGTTGAGTGTTTTTTTCCCTTTTGGTTTTCTAACTCCAGGTCTTTGCACATTTCACTATAACATTTGAATTTGAACTTCTCAAGCTGCCCTTGAAATGATCTATTCAGCTCTTTTACCTCTGCATTTCTTCCATTTGTTTCAGCATTTCTATGCAGGAGTCCTGGTGTGGCATTGTGGGTTAACATGCTGGACTGCAAGGTCAGTTTGAACCACAAGGTCGATGGTTCAAATTCACCAGCCGCTCCTTGGAAACCCTATACAGAATGGTCAGGCTGCGTCTCTCATACTTCTGATACATTGTCAGGAGGGACCAGTCCCTGGAGAAGGATATCATGTTTGGGAGAATGGAAGGTCGGAAAAGAAGAAGAAGACCCCCAACAATGTGGATTTGTACAGTGGCAGCAGCAATGGACTCAAATGTAGCAACGATTGTGAGGTTGGCACAGGACCAGACAGTGTTTCATTCTATTGTCCGTTGGGTCACTATGAGTTATTAATGACTTGATGGCACCTAACAACATAAACAATGATAACTGGGTCTTCCTTTCAGTAGTCTCTTAGTTCTTTGACATGTTTTATTGCATTAGCTAGAATTTCTAGGGTTACTAAAGTTGATAGTGTTTTAGTTCCTGGTTAAATTAAAAGTTTTATTAATATACTATGTCAAGTATCTCATTAATTAGATGTTTTAGATATTTTCTTTTAGAATCATGATATATTATTCTCAAGAATATCTTCTTGACATTTCTTAGGAAGTGAAGACAAAAGAAAAGACCCATCATGAAAAAGATTTCAAAAAGAAGAGAAGATACTAAAAAAAAGGTCAGGTACTAGTGCAATGTTAAGGAAATAAATTATATTAAAGCTCTCAATTATAAATACAGGATTATCCTTATAAATTAGATATATTTAGTTGTATATAGGGATCATACAATTAATCAGTTAAAAGAAATAAACAATAGGGCAATTTAGGTATAAATTGGAGTTTTTTTGTCTTTAAATCATGAGCTAAAGAGTTAAAAGTAGTTATTTGTTTATTATTTATTCTCTTATTTAAATATTCATTTATCTCTCTTTCCTCTCAATCTGCCAACAATTCATTTGCTGCTTTGCTAAATAAAATATTTATTTATTCACTTATTGTTTGTGTGAAAGAAACATAGAAATGGCCAATATCCACATATTTCTTGGAGTAACTTGAAGATGTCCATTTTGTCTCTGTCTTCTAGGTTGAGATGGGAAGTTAGGGAAAAGTAACATGGATCTTGAGAGGCGTTGTGGGTGAGATTATTGAGAATTAAAGGGAGACCTCTCTCAGTCTTTGCCAGGGTTGATGTTCCGTCACACCTTCAAGAGTTGCTGTTCCTTGGACATGAGTAGAATTAGATATTTTAAATTATGCTGAAATTGAATAAGTAAGGGAATTGATGAATAAGTAAGGGAACATCTTAGTCCATGTTGACCTTTATCAGCAATTCTTAAGTGTAATACAGGAACCACTGGTGGACTTTGAAAGGCTATAGAGAGGACTTTTATTGTGATACCATTTTTACTATGATCGGGGCAATACTCTGCTTTAGCTTTTGACACAAGTTTATATTTTTGCCATGATTGGAAAACTGATGTGTGACTGCTTGTTCTTTCTATTCTAACTGCACATTAGTTTGGTTAGCATATACAGTTAATATTTCAGGAAGCTTTTGAGATTCTACTCCTTAAAATAAAGTGAAAAACAAACTCATACTCCATATTGTTCTAAGAAAGGAATCAATGTTGCTAGACTCATAGACTGGGTTCAGACTCATAGCAACCCTGTATAGGTACGAGGAGTAGCTGGTGGGTTTGAACCAGCAACCTTGTGGTTAGCAGTCCAGTGCCTATCCTTCGGTGTCACATCAGAACTCCTTGATGGTGATGATGTTGTTAAGTGTTTTTGAATTGGTTTTGATTCACAGAAACTCTGAATTGCGTTTCTGAGGAGTGACTGGTGGGTTTTAACTACCAGCCTTTTGGTTAGCATTCTAGTGCTTATCCTACAGCACCACACCAGGATTCCAATAGGCTACCCAATTAAAAATATTATCAGGCAGATACAAATACAGTTCTGAGTTCAGGAGCGTAATCAAGGGTAGAGACACAGATTTGGGACACTCTGGGAAAATAGCATCTCCAGTGTCTTGGCATGTGCCCATATTGGGACTATGTAAAGAAGTGTGGCCATTAAAAAAATACAGGAAATAAGTGGCCAGAGAAGTAAACGAGTAGTGGGCAAGGGCACAGAAAATCTTAAGAAAGTAAGGTGCCCAACAGTATTAGATGCTAAAGAGTAATCAATCAAATAATAGCTAACACTGGTATAGAATTGAATTTTCAAAGTATTTTCATATGTCTGATATCATTTGGCCTTCCTAAAGAATGTATGAAGTAGGCAATGTGTGAAGACTAAGAACCAAGCATTGGGTTTTATCTTTAAGAGCCCTTTTTTATTAAACAGAACAACTTGTTGATTTTTTTTAAAAAATCCACTATGTACTTTGTAAAGAACTTTTACAAACTGATAAAATGGTTTGAGAAAATGGACAAAGGACATGAATTGGTATTTTTAAGAAGATGCTATTCAAAGGTCTGCTAAACATATGAAGATATTTAATGTTGATGTAAAGAGCTAAAAACTAGCTCTACCCACCCCCCCTTTTAAAGTTTTTATTGTGAATTGAGTGATAGTTTGCATGGGAGAACATTGATTTTATACTTATCCTATTGTATTTCATTTCCCCCAATTTGTTGTTGTTTTTTGCAGGTGTCAGAAAAGACAGATAACTTTGCTGTTGAAGAAATTGTAGACAAGCATCTACAAAAAGGTTGTCAATAACTACAACTCTAATATTATTGGTTTTTATTTTTGAAAGTTGTAAATATCCAACCCTATGTCAGAATTTCAGCTGGGGATATTAAGTTTTGAGATGAGTTGGACCCATAGCAACTCCATAGGACAGAGTAGAACTTCCCCATAGGATTTTCAAGGCTCTAAATCTTTATAGAAGTCAACTGCAACATCTTTCTCTTACAGAGTAGCTGGTGGGTTCCAACTGCCAACCGGATTCCAGTTAGCAACCAAGAGCTTAAGTACTAAACAGGATGACCGTTTACTATGATACCACGTGGCTTGAATTGTATACAACAGCCAGAGCTTTGTTCATGTCCTGCAAGACTGTTCCATTTTCCCTAAGAGCAGGAAGAAATAGTGGTGTGTAGTACTACATTGATTTTACAGAACTGTAACACATAGTTACATAGTATCTAGAGGCTATGTGTCTACATCTCCAGTTTAATCAAAGTTAAAGTAACTTGGTTTTTATATTTATATATTCCACAAAGCAGTCTTTATAGCATATGGCTGTTCTCATGATTTCTTTTCCTAAAAGGAAAAAGACGTTGGATGCTGTCAAATCTGTTCAGACTCATAGTGACCCAGTGCAGAACAAAGCAGTGCTTGGGCCTGTACCATCCTCACAATCACTGTTATCTTTGGGTTCACTGTTGCAGCTGCTATGTCAGTCCATTTCATTGAAAGTCTGTCTCCCTTTTGCTGATGTTCAATTTGACCAAGCACGATACACTTTCTGGGACTGATCCTTCCTGATGACCTGGCACAGTATATGATACAAAGTCTCATCATTCATTGTTTTTAAGGATTATTCTGGCTATACTTCTTCCAAGACAGATTTGTTCGTTTTTCTGGTAGTCCATGGTATATTCAATGTCCTTGGCAAACCCCATAGTTCAGAGGGATACATTTTTTCTTTGGCCTTTATTACTCATTGTCCAGCTTTCTCATGCACATGAAGCTGTTAAAAATACCATGTGTTGGGTCAGATGCCCCTTTGTCCTCAAAGTGATCTCTTTGCTTTTGAACCCTTTTAAAGAGATCTTTTACAACAGATTTGTCTAGTGCAATAAGTCACTTGACTTCCTGACTGTGGCTTCATGAGCATTGATTATGGATTCAAGTAAAATGAAATCTTTAACAACTTCAATCTTTTCTGGACTCATGATATTGGTCCAGTTGTGAGGATTTTTGTTTTATGAAAATCCAAAAAAGATAAAAGTTTGCTTATCTGAGATTTTTTTTTAGCTGACCAAGGCACTCAACAACAACAGAGAAGGACTCTGGTCAATAGCTTGAGGAAGCCCCAAAGGAAGGTGACAAGGATAGGAAAAATGTCACAAGAAACAAAATTCAAGTCTGGCCAAGCATGCAATTATTTTCTCTAGATGAGGGAGGAGGATGGGGCATCCTTTGGTCTTAGGTTTAAACTTTTTATGTTATTTATAATGACCCAGTCTTTGTAATTGTCGTGATGCTTAGAAATACATGCAGTAGTTAGCATGTTTAATTAGTCTCTTTGCTCATGTTGCTCTTTAAGAAAGTGTTGTGGATTCTGTCTTATGTTGACTTCCTAATAGATTTAGCTGGAGAAGAAAATCAGAACATAAAAGAAACACTGAGAGGCAAAGTAAGAGAAAAGCTAAAAAATGCTAAGGTAATGATTTTTTCTTTCTTTTTTTCAAATTTACTATTTAAATAAGATATGTTGTTGTTAAGTGCTGTCAAGTCAGCTCCTACTCATAGTGATCCTGTATAGGGTTTCTGAGAAGTGACTGGTGGGTTTGAACCACTGACTTTTCAGTTAGCAGTCCAGTGCTTATCTTATAGTACCACATCAGGATATGTTTCTTTGTTAAAATAAAAAAAAAAAAGAAGAGCCAAAGTTCAGTCATAGTATAGTTCCTTAATTCCCAAAAGCCTCAAGTTCTTAACTATATTTTTTTGTCTCATAAGTCTTCATGATCCCAACCTAAAGTCAAGGAAGGTGAAGTGATTTGATCACAGTAATTACATTTGTCATCAGAAAAGTCTATCACTATAGATGTACTTCTTTAAAGAAAAATACTCCAAAGTCTTGATTTTTATCCATTTTTGAGAAAAAATTTAGGAGCACAATTTGTTATTTCTGTAAAGATTAAACTTTCCATGCCATTTATTTATGTTGTTTTCCAGATTAATCAAGGTGAAAAGTCTTCGTCTCAGCTGTTCATTGACCCTAAGTTATATCAGTGGTCTAAGGTGAATAACTTCTAAAGTTAATATGACAGCTAACTTTTACATACAAACAGAATGTAAAATAAACATAGGTCTTTGATTCCCAGTCATATATTTTTAACTTTCTAGTTCCTAGGAGTTTTACTTCTTATTTTAGAGTGGATTCTTTCCCCATACATCCTTATTAACAATTTACTTTAATATGGCATGAAAAAGGAGGTGATAAGTGATTCACATTCCAAAACTTCACACTTGTAGTATTAATAAATGAGAACTTGTTTATCAGTAGGTTTATAACTAAGAATATGCTACTTTTAAAACTCTAATAAAGATTGTGTGGTAGTACCCTGTGTGTGTTTGTGTGTTTACATGTTGTTGTTGCTAGGTACCATCAGGTCAGTTCCGACTGATGATTAACAGATGTTTACAGCTGTTTCTCCTCATTTTGAGTTGTGTCTCATCAGCAAACAAAGGTTCTGAAAGCTTTACTCCATTCATGTCATGACAGTCCACTCTACTTTGAGGAGGCAGCTCACATTTTGAGTGCCTCCCAAGAAGAAGGCCTCATCTTCGGGCACTATATCTGACAATGTGCCATTGCTATTGATGAGGTTTTCAGTGGCTAAACATTCAGAAATAGCCCGCCCCTCCTTCCTAGTTTGCCATAGCCTGTAAGCTTCACTGAAACCTGTTCACTGTGGGTGACCGTGTTGGTATTTAAAATACTAGTCTTCTAGCATCATAGTAACAGGCAGGCCATCACAATACAACAAACTGACTGATAAGTGGTGGGTGGTTATATGAGAACACTGAAGAAAACAGTGAGAAAGAAAACAAGAGTTTGACCTCAGGCCACATTTTTGTCAAATTGAGAGATTGTGTGCTTAATATTCAAACTAGAATGAAGAGCAAGTTCAGGCAAATAGAGAAAATTTTTATTTTAACTTTTTTATGGTTTTTATTACAATTGCCGAAACCTTCAAACAAACAAATGACAACAACAAAAAACCTATGAATCAAACAGACTCAGACTTCAATGTAACCTGGTATTGCCCTTCTCCTCATCATTAACATAGAGAACAGAGTTACTATTTACCATATTACAGAAATGTATTTCCTTTATAAGCAAAAAAATTTACCATTGTTTACCATTGTTTAATCAACAGACTGAAGTCTCAGTGGATGAAGGTATTTCGTTTTTCGTTTTAAATGGTGACGAGTGCTCAGATGGCCAAGCTTTGGAACAGTCTTTAGCGCAGGTTGGATTTCTCCTCACATCCTCACCCCCAGAACAAATAACCATTTAAAGACAAAGAATTAAATACTTAGATGGGAGATGAAGTATTTATTATTGGTCCATTCTCTTCTCTTTGAGAAGATGTTTATGAATAATGATAATATCTAGCAACAGTTGTGAAAATTATGCAAGACCGGGTAGTGCTTTGTTCGTTGTGCCAACTCAGTGGAATCTAATAGCAGCAACAACCTTTATTGAATGCTAATGAATTCCCAAAGATGTACTAAGTTTTTGATGTAGTTTGTATCATTCAATCTCATGGTGATTCCACAAGGCAATTCTTAAAAGTGAAGGATCCTGGTGTGGCGCTGTGAGTTAATGCGCCAGACTGCAAAGCTGTTTGAACTGCAAGCGTGGCAGTTCAAGCTCACTAGCTGCTCCTTGGAAACCCTGTATAGTGTCACTATGGGTCAGAACTGACTTGACGGCACTTAACAACAACAACATAAGTGAGGGAACTGGGGTATTCTGTTGCTCCTGGCTTTTTCTGCAAGCATTCCGCATTGTTCTCTACAATCTCTTTGGCTCCCCAGAGATTCCCTGTTCTTTATCCCTCCTAGTTCAATCCCAGATCCTTCCAGTTTCTCAGTTCTTTCCAGTCCCTCTCTAAGTCCCCAGTCTCCCGCAGCTCTGCATTGCTCTCAGGTTGTCCTTTCCTCTAGTACTAGTCAGTTTCACTTGTCTTTTCCCATTTCCTCCTGACTTGTCAATTTCACTAGCTTTCCCCATCAGTTGTTTTTCCTCTATCTTTGACCAATTCCTCTGCACCTTCAGATTTCCCAGTCTCCCTACTACACAGTTCCTCCTATTTCCAGTGTTGTTGTTAGGTGCTGCGAGCTGGTTCTGACTCATAGCTACCCAGTACATGACTAAACGAAACACTGCCCAGTCCTGTGCCATCCTCACAATGTTATGTTTGAGCCCATTGCTGCTGACTTGGTGCCAATCCATTTCTTTGGGAGTCTTCCTCTTTTTAGCTATGAGTTGGAACCGACTCCATGGCACATAACAACAACATACACACACACACAAGCTTTTTGCCCCCAGTTTTTTTTTTTTTATTTATTCATTTTTAAAACTTTTTATTGTGAATTGAATGAAGATTTACAGAGCAGATCATCAGTTTCACATTTAACAAATCATATACTTTGTTTCATCTTGATTGCATTCCTCTCAATGTAACATTGCTTATTCCACTTCCTCCTTTTGTTTCTTGTTTCCATTCCTCCTCCTTCCTGGAATGTTCTGAATTTGTTGTCCCCCTCTCATTGATTGCTTGGCTGAAAATTGAGTCAAGGGGGTGCATTTGCAAGCTTTTGAAGATTGGATCACTACACAAAGAGCTAGGAGTTAGAACAGAAGCACTCAACACACTATTATGTCCACTAACTGAGATGTCTCATGAAACCATGACCTTTAGACCTAACCAAGGAACCCTATACAGGGTCGATCTCAGTCAGAGTAGACTCAACAGCACTTAACAACAACAACAACAGCATTACTTTTGTTAATTTTCTAATGTTGAGCTATCCTATAGTCTGGGAATAAATCTCATTTGATCATGATATATGACTCTTTTAATATGCTGTTGGATTCTGTTTGCTACCTTTCTTATTTGTGTGGTTTGAGTATTAGGGCTATGTTTGCTTCATAGAATGAATTAGGGAGTATTTCTTTATCTTTTGGAAGAGTTTAAGTAGTATTGGTATCATACTTTGAAACCTCACTAGTCACTCTGCATAGACTTCTGTGTTAAAGTCTTAGTTTTATTTATTTTTTATAATACCTTCCAGAAAACAATATGTCTATTCCAGATCACTTTAGGTAATACTGATTTCTTAATAATTAAAATAAATAAATAAACATGGGGTTGGATAGTTAAGATAACATTGCCTGATCACATTGTACTCTGTCTGCCATTATAATGTGGATTTTCAGTAATTGAAATGCAATAGTTAAATATCTCAAAACATATTTGCAGAAGAGGAAGGACTCAAATTATAGCTCCACTTCAGCAGTTTTTCACTTACGACCGACCTGAAAAGGAAGGCTACAGTAAAATCACATTGTTGTTTTCTAAGTGCTGTCAAGTCACTTCTGACTCATAGCAACCTTGTATAGGATTTCTGAAGAGCCGCTGGTAGGTTTGAACCTCCCACCTTGTAGTTAGCAGTCCAGTGCTTATCCTATAATATTAAACCTTAAAGAAATTCCTCTATGTTCAGTTCAATTCTATTATAACATAGCCTCAACTAGAACTTCAGTGAGATGGAATGCATCAGGAAGACAGTTAAAAATAGGTAGATTTCATGTATCTGTATATTAGTCATTGGAGACAAGCATGTGGGGGTTTTTTTTTTGTGTTTTTTTTTTTATATTTAGCAGAAATCAATAAATGATCATTACCAAAGACACGTTTCACCCGGTGATAATTTACAAAATTTTGCTGAGAGTCAAGATGAAAGTTTTTTTGCAGAAGTCATTGATTCAGATTTACTTGAAGTAAAAGCTGCTGAATATGAAGACGACCAAGAACAAATGAAAAAGCAGGCAAACATTTTTGTACCCAGTAGTTCCCCAGGTACTGTTCTTTTAAAAAACTCGGGTCTTTCATGAATCATAGAATAATCACTTTTATGCTGGACAGATGAAAAGTACTGATAAAAATTATAGAAAATTATCTATATCTGTTCTTCATGCCTTCTCTGAGTTAAGAGAATTTACTCATTGTTTATATATATTTAGATATTTATGCTAGATTTTAGTTGTAGGGAGATGATCGTTTGTATTTGCTTCTTATTTGCTCTATGTCAGTGAATATTTTGGGTTTTGAAGTAATACCTAGATTTTGCTATTAGTGGTCAACCAGTATAAATTGCCAAAAGACATGATACCACGCCTTTTAGAAGATGAAGGATTCTATATTCAGAAAAAAACAGAAATATATAGAAGGATGAGCAACAAAATGGAAAACCGCCTGCTTAAACTCGAAGAGGCAAGTACACCAGATAACAAAAATGATAGCAAAGTTAAACTACTCACTGACAATATGTGACATTTTTTTTAGTGAGATATTTACTATATTTCTTAAACATTTTTTCATAGGGAAAGTGTTGGTTTGAAGAAAGTGGAGAAATAATGTCATTACCTTCACCAATTAGACAGTCATGGAATTTCAGACTAAACATACAAAAGGAATCATTACATCCAGCCCTGAAGACCATGTACAGGAAGGTAACCAGCAGCAGTTAGTTTCTAATTATGGTTAGAATTCTTGTAACAATATGTTTTCTGGTGTTAATTCACTCTTTAAATGTGTTATCAAGTTTAGTAATATAATGACTGGACTATGATGAAATATTAGTTATTAAAATTATATTTTTAAAGAATACTGAACCAATATGAGGAAATAAGATATGAAGTGAAAAAGCAGAATGCACAATCATGATCTCAATTTTATTAAAATATACGTGAATGATTGAATGAGCACATACATTGCACATGTATGTGTCGATAAAAATCTATCAAAGTTGATCCCTGGACAGTAGAACACGTGGCTGTTTCTGCTGTTGTTGAGTGCTGGCGAGTCAGTTCAGACTCACGGTGACTCTGCATAGGGATCCTAAGGGGCAGTTGGTGTGTTTGAATTGCCACCTTTGTGGTTAGCAGTCCAGCGCTTATCCTTCGGAGTCACCCATGCTCTGTTAAATCTCTTGTTAAATTCAGCCAGAGAATTCTTTTTTATGTTTAAAAAGTTTCCCACTCTTCACCTTAAAAAAGGATTTTATAGTATTTATTTGTTCATGAGTTCCTTCTAATTTAGCCTTAATTTGTAATTGTTAAAACTCTTTTCTGTCACTGTCTAATTCTGTCACCTCATTTCTGAGGTTTTCTTATTCTCATATATATGCCTTAATGTCTTACATATTTTATGTCTTTTAGCTAGCTTTGAAAACTATATTTCTTCTTTCATCTGTTTTTGGCTGTCTTTCTGAAATGCTTTCATTATGAAAATATTACTTTGCTGTTTATTCATTTTTCTTATAGTAACTTTGGGATTTTATCTCAATCGTTATTCTACTGTTTATTTTTAGATTTATTCTAAAACTTGGTTCAGAGTAACTTTTTTCACAGAGCTCTATTATAGTTGTGTAGTGTCAGTTTTCCTACAGTGAACATGTTGCTTTTATAACGAAAAGTTATTTGTAATTTCAAAAGAACTAAAAATCAATTTAACACTGTGTACACATTTTTCTTTAAAAGGCAGTCAAATCGGATCTAGAAAGCTCTATCAGGAACAAAATAGAAGGTCAAAGGGATGTGTACCAATTAGATCTTAACATCGTGGGTTTGCAATTCAGCCATCATCCTCTCTTCAATCAAGAACAAGTATTATGTGCTAGGCTCCTCCAACTTTATGAGTGCTTTCAAAACAGGCAGCAACAAAATTTACCTCAGCTACTTTATGAGAAGGTAAGAATGGCTTTCATTATACTTGCAGAGCATTTATTACTAAAAGATAAAGCAAAATTGTTAGTGCAAAGCCATCGGGACTGTCCTCTACATAGTTGTGTTGTTCACGAGTGTTTGGTTCACAAGGAGGGGAGATCCAGTGGCGATAGAGATAGCGAAAGAATACACAGACAGACAGAAGGAGGAGGACAATGAGGCACCCCGAAACCAGGGTGGATGCATCACTGGTGGGCAGACTTGGGACTACAGGCATCATGGCCTCTGCAGGCAGCAACTCACTGCCCTGCAATCTTTACTGCATGCCCTCCAAGCCGTAATGCACACCTGGGCCGACCTGGGCCTCTGTTTTATTTAGGGGAGGAGCTTCACACCAAGCTGGGAGGGACTAAGACAAGGTACAGCTGGCATACGTAATTCTCCCGACATTCAGGCAACTTTACATCATACTTCGCTGATTCGCTGATTCGAATCCCAGGCCCGCAACTTAGTTTCTCAGGCTTAATTAACATATCTATAGCCCCTGAGCTAAGTTGGGGCAAGGTGAAAGGGAAGGACAAAAGGCTTGGGCCGAGTCCCGCTGTTTTAGCTTCCTGAGCCAGGTTTTCAGGAACTTGGCTGAATAACTTGCACTTGGGAGAGATTCAGGGAAGATGGCTTTTTTGTCTGTAGAACAAAGACCTGGGAAGTAGCTAAGATATTTTTACTTAATCTTTTGGAGAAAGGCTTGACCTTGCAACCTTTACAGTCTGGGCTTTTAGGAAAATAATCTGTGGACATTAAAGGCTCATGTTTAGAATTAATAAATATAACTGAACACTAAGATGAAAAACAATTTGCTATTAACTGCCAAGTGGCTAGATCTGTTACACTCGGGCCTATAGGGCCTCGAACCTCTGACCAGGCCTATACACGGTCTGTAACACAAAGCAAGTTCTCATAGAACATTTTCCATTAGCACATTAAGTATTTAAACATAACAGTGATTTTATTTCAGTTTTTCTGAAAAGAACTTATAGAAGTAGTATGACAGAGAAGGCGGCCTCAAATATTCTCTACAGGGTATTAAGCATTTGTAAATGGTTCATTAAATAGAGCTTTTCTTGGTTCTATGACTCAAGAAAAGTATTGGAAATGATTACTAATCAAAAGAGTCACATGGTTTTTTAAGTCTTATAATGAAGTATTTTGGTAAAGTTGGAGGGTCAGTGAAAAAGAGGAAGACCCTCATGGAGATGGACTGACACAGTGGCTGCAACCGTGAACTCAGACATGCTGACGATTGTGAGGCGGGCACATTTCATTCTGTTGAACATAGGGTTGCTATGAGTCACAACCAACAGCACCTGACAACAGCAATGAAGTATTTTGACAAAAATACTAGAGATCTTGAATCTCACATCAAATATGAAGAGTCTTGGTATGAGAGGATGATTAAACCAAATAGTCATCTAATGACATCATAAAGAATGCTTAAACTGAGCAGAGAAATCGAGTACTCATTATGATTATTTTTATGAATTTGTGCTTCTCATTTAAATTCTGATGAGTTTCTAAGGAGTCCCAGTGACATATGGGTTAAACACTGAGCTGGTAATCTGAAAGGTTGGCAGTTCAAACTCACCAGTTGTGTTTCTGATAAATGAGCATTTTATTAACTAGTGTGCTGTCTGAAAAAGTATTCTTGATGGGGCTCATTCAGATAATGAAACATTTAAACTGGGAACTAACTGTATCTGACTGTATTGGTTTTTTATAATACAAGTGCAAAAACCACAGGACTTAATCCATTTGAATGAATGTTCATGTGGGAAATGTGTGGAAGAACTTAAAAGATAAGACCATGCATTAATGAAGTCAGAAAATTTCCTAAAACAAATATCGAAAATTCTGTTACTTTGGTGTAATTATGGGCAGTGCTTTCAGCAAGGGAGGAACAAACTCTGAAATTATGATTCAGGTCTTTGGAAAAGATTTACAGATTTCTACTTCATAGGTCATTTTCAAACAATATTGTATAATCTTTATAATGTTTGCTCTGATGACATCAGTTTGATTTGAGTAGCATTAATGTATGGAGTCCTGGTTGAGATAAAGCACTGGACCGCAAGGTCGGTGGTTCAAACTCACCAGCTGCTCCTCAGAAACCCTATGCAGGGTCATTATGAATCAGAAATGACTCAACAGCACTTAAAAACATTAATGTATAATATATAAAATGAAATGTGCAAAGACCTGGAATTAGAAAACCAAAAGGGAAGAACATGCTCAGCATTTCTCAAGCTGAAAGAACTGAAGAAAAAATTCAAGCCTCAATTTGAAATATAAAAAGATTATATCCTTACCAGCTGCTCTGCAGGAGAAAGTTGAGGCTCTCCTTTTTCACAATAGATTTTTAAAAGCCTCAGAAACTGTATACAAGGTTCCTATGAGTTGAAACTGACTCCATGGCCCTTAACAACAACAACATGGGCATAATATTGAATGAGCAGAAAGCATCAAAAGAAAATGAAAGGACTATACAGAGCCACTGTACCAAAAAGAAATGGTCAGTGTTCAACCATTTCAAGAGGCAGCATATGATCAAGAGTCAGTGATACTGAAGGAAGAAGTCCAAGTTACACTGAAGGCATTGGTGAAAAACAAGAATCCAGGAATTGATAGAATACAAATAGAAATCTTTGAACAAACTGATGCAGCACTGGAGGCACTCACTCAGTTTTGCCAAGAAATTTGGTAGACAGCTACCTGGTCAACTGATTGGAAGAGATCCATATTTGTTCCCATTCCTAAGAGAGGTGACCTAATGGAATGCAGAAATCAACAAATAATAATATCACCTACAAGTAAAATTTTGCTGAAGATAATTAAGAAACAGTTGCCAACAGTACATCAACATGGAACTGCCTGTTCAAGCCAGATTCCAAGAGGACTGGAAGTAGTGATATTGCTGATGTCAGGGAGATCTTGGCTGAAAGCAGAGAATACCAGAAAGATGTTTACTGTGCTCTATTGACTCTGTAAAGGCTTTTAACTGTGTAGATCATGACAAACTATGGATAACATTGTGAAGAATGAGTATTCCAGAACACTCATATGCTTATGAGCAAACTGTACGTAGACCAAGAGGCAGTTGTTAGAACAAAACAAGGGGATATGGGATGGTTTAAAATCAGGAAAGGTGTGTGCCAGGGTTGTGTCCTTTCACTATACTTATCCAATCTGTATGTTGAGCAAATAATCTGAGAAGAGGGATTGAAGAATGTGAGGTCAGAATTGGGGGAAGACTCATTAGCAGATATGCAGATGATACATCCTTGCTTGCTGGAAGTGAAGGGCACTTAAAATAGTTACTGGTCAAAGTCAAACACTATAGTCTTCAGTATGGATTGTACCTCAGTATAAAGAAAACAAAAATCCTCACCACTGGACCAATAAATAACAGCATGATAAGTAGAGAAAAGATTGAAGCTATTAAAAGCTTCATTATGCTTGGATTCACTATCAGCACTCATGGAAGAAGCAATCAAGAGATCAAACGACACTGCATTAGGCAAATCTGCTGTACAAGACCTCTTTAAAGTGTTCAAGAGCAAAGGTAACAGTTTGAGGACAAAGGTGCACTTGATCCAAGCCATGGTGTTTGCAGTTGCCTGCTAATCATGTGAAAGTTGAACAATGAATAAAGAAGACTGTAGAAGCATCAGTGCATTTGAATTATGGTGTTGGAGAAGAAGTCAGAGTACCAGGGACTGCTAGAAGAACAACCCACCTCTATGTTAGTAGCAGTACAACCAGAATACTCTCTAGAAGTGAGGATGGCGAGACTATCGTACTTCGGACATGTTATCAGGAGGGAGAAAGAAGGACACCATGAAAAGAGGAAGACTCCCAATGAGACGGATTGACACAGTGGCAACAGCAATGAACCGACATGGAACAACAATTATTAGGATTATTGGGCAGTGTTTCGCTCTGTTGTGCATAGGGTCGCTGTGAGTTGGAACTGACTTGACTGCATCTAGCATCCATTAATGTATCGATTCAAAGTTTGTTTTTCATGTTACATGATTCAGCATAAAATAAAAACATTTTGGGATAATTACTTGCAAAATGTTTCATCATTGTTATTAGTATTTTGTTGATTGTTAAGTGCTATAGAGTTAGTTCTGACCTGGAGCGACCCTACGGTTTCCAAGGAGTGGCTGGTGAGTTTGAACCGACCTTGCAGTAAATGCTTATCCTACTGTGCCACACCAGGATTCTTAGGAGGCCAAAATCAGTTTAGTTGAATTTTACATTTTTATAAGAATATAAATATCTTATCCCAGTAAACTGTTAAAAGATTAATTTGGTTAGCCATATATACGTCTATCTCCTCTCAAAAAGAAAAACTGAGGTGGGAAGGAAAAAGGGCCAGGTGTTGCAAAGTGTTTTATGTGGCTATATACATTTTTCTGGATAGTAAGTCCATTAAAACTATATTTCTTTTAATATGTTTGGCATATGTTTGTTCTCCTTTTTTACTTGTTTTTTAATTTAATGTTTTACATATTTAACAAATATTTAAAATTTTTATGAGGTCACATCTGCCTATCTTTTTTCCCTTGTAGATTTTAGGTTTTGCTGTTACCTTTCTAAGACCTTCTCTACCCTAAGTATATCAATTAGGATGCCTTTGGTAGTAATTCACTGAAAACTCCATCTCAATTGCTTTAAACAGTAGGGAAAGATACTACTTTATAGTTCATAAGTCTCTAGTTAGGGCAGCTCTAAACTCATTGCCATAGAGTCAACTCTGATTCATGGCAACCACATTGATGAGTAGAACTGCTCCATAGGGTTTTCTGGTCTGCAAAAGAACCAACAGATCCATGTTGGAAGAAGTGAAGCCAGAGTGCTCTTTGGAGGCCAAGATGGCCGAACTAACGTCTCTCATACTTCAGACATATTGTCAGGAGGGACCAGTTGCTGGAGAAGGATAACATGTTTGGTAAGGTAGGGGTCAGAGAAAAAGAGGAAGACCCCTAACGAGATGGACTGGCCAAGTGGCAGCATCAGTGGGTTCAAGCGTGGCAACAGTAGTGAGGTAGGCCCAGGATCGGGCAGTGTTTCGTCCTGCTGTGCATAAGGTCACTATGGGTCAGTGCCAACTCGATGGCATCTAACAACAACAACAACAATCTTAACGGAGGCAGATCTCTAGACCATTCTTCTGTGACGCTGTTGGTGAGTTCAGACTGCCAACTTTTAGGTTAATTGTTGCTGTAAAGTGCCGTTGAGTCAGTTCTGTCACATATGAAGGATAAGCACTGAACTACTAATCAAAAGGTCGGTGGTTCACACCTACCAGCTACTCCATGGAAACCCTATACAGGGTCGCTATGAATCTGAACTCACTCGACACCTAATAACAACAAATAGGATTTTTGAGGAGCATCTGGTCGGTTTGAACATCCAATATTGTGGTTAGCACATTGTTGTAGTTGTTAAATGGTTCTTACTCATAGAGACCTGTATAGGGTTTCCTAGGAGTAGCTGGTGGCTTTGAACCACCCACCCACCTTGCAATTCAAACCATCCTTGTGGTTCAGCGCTTATCCTTTAACGCCACACCAAATTCTGAGCACATTGTAAGGCTCAACAATATCATCAACAACCTTAGCTTTTTTTTTTTTTTTTTAAT